ATGCGTATTATAATTTGTCCTATAAGTATCAACAAGTTCATATTTTTTTTAAACATTACACATTGTATTTTTATCTTTTATTTTTAAATAAATAAAATAATTTAATTATAATGTATTAAAAAAATTTACATCCACATCATATGATAAATTTTTAAATTTTATAATAATTACTTTAAAATATAACTAAATAATCTCTAAATAGTTAACAGTGTAAGAAAATTTAGACCAGAAGTATATAAAAATTAAACTAAAAAATAGAATTATTACTATTTTTAATATTTCTATAAAAAAATTACATTCATAATATGTTAAAAATATTATATTATTCTTTAATATAATATTAAAATGCAATTTATTTATATTTTATTTATAAGTTTAATTAAAGTTATACTTTAATTTTTTAAATATCCACGGTAAATGGGAGCCTACCATAAAACCATAAATATGTTGAAGCTGTTGAGCGCACACCACCTTTAAATTGAAGGGAATTAATCCAGAATAGCCAAGTTTTACTCTTGCGAACATCATATACCAGGCTTATATGTTAAGCTTCGGTGATGGCTCATTCCCAATTTCCTCTACCAGAATATATCTCTAGCCCCCAACTTCGGCACTTCAAAACGACTAACCAACAAGAATTATTAACCACGTCCCCTTATGTGTTATTAACCCCATAGTCTACAAATAATCAGAGGTTATAAGGTTAATGATTAATATATTCGTCTAACCTCCATTAAGGGGCCCATGTTTTAGTCCCCACAAGAAAACATTGGTAACTTATATCCGTACATAATCGTTGAAACAATTTATCACTATTGTAAAAAAGTTAAGATCTCTGATTTTGGTACAAAGAAATAAATTTTTTTTTCCGAGCAATTACAATTTTCTCATATAAGGGCTAAAACTTACAATAAGGACAGCTATATACATCAAGTGAAAATTTTAGCCCAAGTTAATCAACATTATAATAAGTGTGCAGCGATTTGAATGTATGATGCCTCCACCCCACTCTACTACTTGAACTACAGATCCATAACAAAACCAAAAAAATCCCATTTAAATATATGGGGTTTGCAACAAAAAAAAAAAAAAAAAAAAAA